TATGTCTCCGCCCCCCCCCCCCCCCCCCAAATGTTTTCAGGCTGCAGCACCCTTGTGAAAGGAAATGAGTGAGCTGGGGCCCATGCCTCAAAAAAACCCCAAGCATGTGAATTTGCTGTGCTACTGAGCCTTGCTGTGTATGATTGAACTAGTTGGGTGTTCCTTTAACAGTTAACATCTTAACCTGTTAATTTTATTCTAGAAATGTCCTTCGGCGTGCTGGTTTAATTTAGCATGCAGATGTAAATGCCTGCATAAATTGGGCAACTTGCATTTGTTCAGTTTTATTTCTCTTGTAGCTCTTCTATCTTCCTGCCAAGAAGAATGTTGACTCCATTTTAGAGGATTACGCAAACTACAAAAAATCACGAGGAAATACTGATAACAAGTAAGTAGTGGTCATTGCAGACCTTAAATACTACTTTGGCTGTTGTTGTTGGACTTGTGCTTCATGGCAAATGTAGTAAGGTTGTTAAACACGTCCCAGCCCTGTGTCCAGCTTCATGTTCAAGACCAAGGTGATTGAGGAGTTTAGAGATCTTTGAGGAGGTGATTCAGGAAGCTGACAGAAGCCAAGTGAATAGTTCTCCACCCCTTCGTTCCTGCTCAGGCTTCCTCTGTGGAGTGAATCAAGTCATTGGCCCTTGCTAATGAACTGAACAAATTACCAAAAATGCTGCCTGGGAGATGAGTGAAGTGTTACTGTGTGGGAGGACTCTCTCCTGGAGGTGGAGGGTGGGGGACAGGGAGGTAGATGATGACTTTGAAAAGAACCAGATGGGCAGAGCTAATTACCTTGAGGTGATAGCTTGTTGTTTATTGTTTTTTATAATTACCCCAGCAGTCCAGTCCTGACAGCAAACGAGGTGTGTTTATTCTTGAATTAAGCTTTCCTGTTGTAAAGGGAGAGAAACTAGAAATGTGAAGTTATTTTCTTCCATTCAACAGGAAGCATATTATTAACTTGTCAGGGTGTTCTAACATTCTTTTATGTAATTGTCCTAATGGCTGTTCTAAATTTGTCTGCAGGGTGGAGCGAGGGTTATACTTCAGATGTGTGTTGTCACTGCTAATTCCTGCACAGTTATTCCTCAGTTAGTTGTGAAGTTGGAGGCCTGGAGGAGCGTGGTGTTGAGAGGCCTCGTTAGAAAGGGTCAGTTGCCTGCAGTATGGGGTGGCTGTCCCCTTCTGCTAGCAGTTCTGTCTGATTACTTAAAGTAGGATTGTACTCTTGAACTGGTGGGAGCTGGGATTAACTGTGGTTGAAAACAGAACTGCTGGTCAGTGCCCTTACAAATTATTGTCCTTCCTGGTGCTTCAACAGGACTGCTCTAAGAGTTAGTTTCTCTGAGTGAGTAGATGACTAAAAACAAGGCTTTTCTTGGTTTGCCTAAATTCTTACCAAGTTCAGAACAGTCCATTTTTAAAGGGGGTCTTGAAATGCATCACTCCCTGTGGCTGTAGATTTTAAGGTCTCCAGACAACTGTCCTTGAAAAATCTGCAGGCTTTTAAAGATCTTTGATTTTGATGCACTCACCAAACCAGCTCTCATCCTGAGTCCATCCTGCCACTAGAACAGGACTTGCAGTGTCTTCTCTGTTCACCAGGGAGTATGCAGTCAATGAAGTGGTGGCTGGAATTAAAGAATACTTCAATGTCATGCTGGGAACTCAACTGCTGTACAAGTTTGAGAGGCCTCAATATGCTGAAATTTTAGCAGATCACCCAGATGCTCCAATGTCTCAAGTCTATGGTGCCCCACACCTCCTGAGGTTATTTGGTGAGTACCTCTGGAGATTGAAGAGAGCAGTTAGAAGTATTCAGACTCTTCCTGTCTGGAGTCTTGGTGGGTGTGAGCTGCAGAAACTTGACAAGCAGCTATGAAGCACAAGGTTTCAATCTTTCCTTACTCCACTTACCTAAAATGTTCAGAGCCACTCGTGGATTTAGAATGGAAATGGATTTTCAACAGTCTAGTTATTTTAAGTGAGCTTGTATATATTGGAAGAGATTCCTGGGCTGCTTTTATGTGCTCCTGTGAGGTTTAAGCCTGTACTGAACCACTTGTTAAATGTTTGTAACTCACAAGTGCTCCTTCTTTTGAAACAGTGCGGATTGGAGCTATGCTTGCTTACACTCCTCTTGACGAGAAGAGTCTGGCTTTGCTGTTAAACTATTTGCATGACTTCTTAAAGTAAGTACTGTTAAAGTCTTTCGACAGGAAAGAAAAAGGTCAGTAAGCCCAGGCTATTGTTGTGTGGCCTATTTTCAGTCAACAGTTGTTATATAACAGACACCTATGTCCTGGGCTCCTGCATGGTGTGTTCAGCAAAGATTGCAGTGAAGCTTTCTCAAACTGCTGTCCAGTAACGAGTAAGACTGGTTTAAACTTCTCTCCAGTGATACTGAGGTTATGGATAGTTAAACGTGTGTTTAGGTATCTACTAGTCTCCACTTTTAAACTGTCCAAGACTGCTACTTGTTTCAAGAGAAATTTTGAAGCATTTAGTGGTAGTTGCTATAAAAAGCAGATGACAATTACAGCAAACTATGAAATTACACAACAGCTACTCAACAGCAATTGAGCAAATGTTGAGAACTGATGAACCTTGTTAACATTATTTCTGGGACACATTGTCACTGTAGCTTCAGTGCACTGCAGTGCGCTGTGGTGCTGCAGACGTGTTGTAGTTAGGATGAAAGCCTCATCCTAAATAATACGAGACTCAATGTGTTTAAACAAAAAAACAAACCAGGCATTTGATTTCCTAACTGCTCTAAGGAGCTGTGGAGTCAGTTGCTGCTTTGTTCACCTGTAAATGTTTCCCGAGTGTGAGACTCTAAAGCAGAATTAAACTTCAGTCTAGTGCCAGGTGTCGTACCTGTTCCCCCATGAATGTGCGAGCAGGACTTCAGCAGCTTCCATGCACCTGTACTGCACTGGAGGAACTTTGTATTGTACTTCTGCCATTTCTTTATCAATAAATGTGTGTGGGGTGAAACTGCTCAGCCGCGTGCCAGCTCACAGCATCGGGGCTGCTTTTTGCTTTTGCTGTGCTGGCAGACTTTCTTGGTCTGCTTTTACTAGAGCCATAAACTTCTGTTTGTGATTGTCATGCAGAGGAGAAATGTTCCCTGTATTTTCGTACAAGGGTCTAGTGGTATACTGATAGTGTTTGGAAACACTGGTTTGTAAATAATGAGAGAAGCAAAGCATGAAGCTATTTGCCAGTAAATACTGGCTTTTACCTCTGTGTGATTGGATAAGCTACTGGAAGCTGAAAGAAAACCCTCAGCAAATCCAGGACAGCGCTGCAGTAAACTAGAGAAGGATCAGCCTGATTTCCAGGGCAAACCCGCCTTGGAATAGTCCTGGAGTCTTGAGTAGATCTTAGTCTTTTGGGTAAGTCTGAAGTAAACACAAGTGCTAAAGAGCTTTCAGCTGTAAAGACAGAAATGTGAAGCCAGTGTGTTGACCAGAAATCCCCGGAATCCATGGGCGGAGCAGTAATGGCATGTAATGCCTGTCTTCTGCTCTTGCGCTCAGTTGACCATTGCTCGTTCTGCTCGAACCATCGCTCATTGAGCTGCTCAAGTTCCATGTTTGTGCAGACAGATCCTCCCTGTCCCTACCCCTTTGAGCGTGGTCAGGAGTAAATTGATTATTGGTCCAGCAGCTGACAACCTCAAATGAGAACTGTTCCATCCTGGTAATTGTAACCTCCCTGTGCTCCCCTGGAGCCCCAGGTGCCTGGCAGCTTGGGTGCTTGGAGTTGATTTTTTGGCATGAGCTGTCAAATCTTTAATTGCTTCAGCCAGCTATAAGTGTTGGGTTTGTACTCTTGAAATTGTGTTTTATGGTCTCAGCAAGCACCTAACAGCTCTCTCGTGTGGTGCTAAACAGTGGTGACTGCAGGCAAGAAGGTAATTCAATCTTTATTATTTTTCCTAGGTATTTAGCAAAGAATTCCTCGGCATTGTTTAGCGCCAGTGACTATGAAGTAGCCCCTCCCGAGTACCATCGGAAAGCAGTATAGGGCTGTGCTGCTTTACAGTGGCGTGATGATGGCATCCTCGTCCATTCTGCATCTTGTTCTCCACCTTTTGATTGCACATGTGTCTCTTGCACAAATTATGTAAACAGAAAGTGAATAAAGTCGTGTGCTTAAAGTGGAACTGGCATTCGTAAGTTCGGGAGATTTTCTTGTCCCAAAATGGAAGCTTGGAGTTTAACGGTAACTCTGTGGTGTTTCTGGCTTGCTACTGTTGTTTGCATCAATGGAATGTAAAAAGAATGCGTTACGATGCTTCATTGTGTGAGCTCCGCCGTGCTCGTGGGTCTGTTCTGATGTTGAGGTTTGCTTCACTCATCCGCTTCATTGTGCAGGAACGACAAACGCGGCCTCGGACCCGCAGGGTTGTGATCACCTCGTGTTGGTGCTATTGGTTAGTCTGACTCTCAAACCCATTTACTTTCGTGGTGTTGGAAGTGAAATGTTTGGTCCATTAATGTATGCTTTTCTTTAGGTAGTTGAAGGACTGTGACTTTTTTATATTCTAACAATAGGAAAATGCGTTATCATATCATAGTGTCTTGGAAATGTTGGTCTGTCACAGAGCTGTTTTACAAATCTTCAAATAAACTTTTTTAATTGGAAATATTGTTTCTAATGTTTGTATTTGCATCAGTCACTACCTCATGGCAGTGTCCTGTCGCGTATGACCTGAGTTTGTTAATGGGAGTATAAAGTCCTGCAATGCTAACCTGGAGCTGCTGGGTTTCTTTCTGGTTCTAAGGACGAGTTGTCCAAGCCCACACATCCAGCTCCGGGGGGGGGGCAGTGGATTCTCTCTCTCTAGGATCATACATAGTCCATAGGTAGTGATAACGCACCTTCACTACATTGGCTGCAGAATTCTTAAAAGTCTTGTTCTTAAAAGCCTGAGCCCTGAGAGCACACTCTGCCTGGCTTCTGCAAACCACTTTCCTGTTCTAATCCAGTGTTCTGTGCCCAGGAGCAGCTTAAATGTAAACGGGAGGGCAGGTGAGGGTGCTGTGAACGGCACCATTCAGGCCGCTGTTCAGCGCCGTCCTGGAAGCTGTTACAGTTCCTCCCGCTCCTGGCTCTTGTCTCAATGCCCTTGAAGAAGAGCTGTGGCGAAAGCTGGAATAGGTGGTAAAGAAACAGTGGTAGGAGAAATGGGAACTAATGCTGCCCGGAGAGGAGCTCTGGCCCGGCAGAGTTCTGTGTGGATGTTATTTCTGTGGGCAGATCTGTGTTGTACTTGGCGTTGACCTTCCAGCATCAGGCATGTTGAGCTTATCTCTTTGCTTGATGTTGCAAGTTCCCTGCAAGCTTGCGCACTTTTTCTGGGAAGGTCACTCCGGGAGTTAGCTCTGAGCTGCACCGTATGTGGCTTACGCTGTCCTGTGAGCCTCTGTCCTGTCAGGCTCTTGTTTCTCCTCCCTGCTCTCCTGTGTGTTTCCCCGGGCAGCCTGTCTGTCCTCGGGCATCAGGAAGTGAGGAACTGGCTCTTCCAGCCTCTCAGATAAATTCTGAGCTAGCTCCTCTGCCTCTTGCTGCCCTGGGCCTCTTAAACTCTCCTGTAAGGGCTCTTTGGGATCATTTTTATAGTAACTCCTTTCTGTTTGTAAACTCCCTACACACTGCATTCCTGAGCAGCTCCCTCTCCAACCCAGCAAGAAGGGAAGGTGCCAGACCCAGCTGGGTGCATCAGGTTTGCTTTGAGTGGCAAATGCTGCCTCACCTTGATGCTGTGTCTGTGGGGCAGGATGGGGAGGGGATTGATCTCCATCTCACCCGTGTTCTGCAGCCCTTCTCCCGGGAGAGCTGCGCTGTTTGGGGTGAGTGGGGGATGATGAAGGAGGGTTTTGGGCACATCTATTAAAAGCATTTCATGACTTGGCTGTGGGAGAAGCAGCTGCTCTTTCCAGGCAAAGCACCAGCTTTTAGGCACAGAGGTTATTGCAGGAAACCACAGGCTGTGGGGCTGTGATGAAGGGCTGCCTGGTGCTGGTGGGGGTGATGGTCCCTTTCCTGGGCTGGGCTGCGGCGCTGTCCCCTGTCCCACGCTGCTGCTGCCTGGAGGGTCGTCCTGCTGGGGGGGAGGCTCTCCAGCCACATCCCACCCCCACGCGTGTCCCTGAACACGGTGTGCACCCTGCCCAGGGCAGCTGCCTGCGGGTAAAGATGGGAGGGGGCTGGCCTGGGCCCCGCGGGGGTCGGTGGGCTCCAGCTCGGTCCTGAGGCAGGTGCCCAGACAGGAATCCAGCTGGGGCTGGGTTACATCCCACCCTCTGCCCCCCCAACGGCTCCTGTTTTGTAGAGGGGGGTGCGGGTCGAGGGATGTTCTGCTGGAGCAGAAACAACAATGAACTGTTCAAAGGAGCAGCAGGGATCTCTCGTTAAAGGGAAAAGAACAATACTGAGCGCTGATGGGAGTGGAAATTGCCATGGAGACTCTGAGGTGGTGCTGGGAGGAGCTGCGGGGGTCTGGGGGTTCCCTCACCTAGCTCGGGGCTGGTGAGAGGAGGAGCCCAGGAGCTGTCGTGAAACGCAGCGAGAGGATGGTGCTGCGCTTGCTGGTGTCATTACAGTCCCTGCGTGCTCTTCCCTCTGTTTAATTAACAGCTTCATGAGGCTAATTAGCTCCTGCTCTTCATTTATCTTGGCTGTTACCCAAGTGAAGAGCCAGGAGTTCTGAGTCTGAACAAGGGCTTTATCCTTTGCCAAACCGCCCCACAAGGGAAAACAACCTTTTGCTGTCAGGGCACTGTTTCTAGAAAAGCATTTGTACCCGAGACCTGTTGAGGGGCTGTGCCGCAGCGGGTCAGACCCATGGAGCTGTGCCGGGAACAGCTCCAGTTCGCTGCTCTTGCGCTCCCTCCCGCTGCCCGTGAACCCACCTTGCGGGATGGAGCCAGGCACCGGAGCTGCCCCCACTGCCTCTGCAGGAGAGGTAAGGAGTTCACAGCAGGGAGCACGGAGCTCATGGGTCCCCTGCGGGGCTCCAGCCAAGGTCTGTCAGCTCTGCGTGTGGCTCCCCAGCAGCTGCCATTGGCTCTGGTGTGCGGCGCTCACCCGGCTCTACAAGCGCCCTAATGTCACCTGGGGATGGTGCCAAAGCCTGGCCGTGCTCGCTCCTGTTAATCAGTAACACAAAGTGGAATTAGCAAGTGGAGCCACGGCAGAGAGCGGAGAGCACCTGCGGAGCTCAGTCCCCGTGTCCCCTGGCCTGTCGCCCCCAAGGACCTCCCCGTGTCCCCGCCATGAACACAGCCCCGGAGCTGCCTGGCCCCGCTGCGGGATCTGCTGCCTTCCTGGGTGTCAGGAAACTCTCATCGGTTTCTCTCCATGCAAACCATATTTCTGCAGCTGCTCTGGGGCCAGGAAGGAGCAGGGGGGTGCAACGTTTAATGCTCTTAAAAACACTCCCCTGCCTGCGCCAGCCTGGGGCTGTGCCTCCTCGCCTGGGCACGAGGGATGCCCCCCATGCCCCGAACCGCTGCGGTGAGTGCCACCTGTCCCCGACTCATTTCCCAAACAGCTTCGCAGCCCCCTCGAGTCCCAGCAGCTGGAACCCTTGGGTGGGCAGCACCCACTGGCAACAGAAGTGAGCAGAGGGTGGGGGTCCTGCAGAGAAGCCAACCTTCATCCTTTGCAGGAGGACGAGGAGCACCCGGCACAGCGAGGCTTGCGTGCGGCTCTCGGCTCAGACGCTGCTCGTCACCTTTAATTTGCAGGGCAGGGTTGCTAAATCCCGAAACAAAGGCTGTTTGTTAATTAGTTTATTCTTTAAAGAAGCCTTTCAGGAGCAACTCAATCATCCTGGAAACGCTTCCTTCTCCCAGGGCTGCGGAGGGATGTCATTACTGCGTGAGGTCAGCTAATGGAGCTGGAAAAAACAAACCTGGGCGCACACTCACACATCGCATCTCCCGGAGACTGTGGAGATCAAAGCCTGGTGACA